GCCGCTGCCGCTTGGAAGCGCCTTTGTGGAGACGAGGTTTGGCTCTGAAGCCCGGGCTGCTTTTGGACTCCGCTCAAGCAGTCCGGCGCCTCGGCCTCCAGAGTGCCGGGATTTCCAGCAGGAGCCCCTGCGCCTGGCCTGGTTTCGCAGTGTGTTTTGCTTTCTCTGCTTAAAGAAGGTTCTTTGAGTGGAGCTGCTGGGTCCTACGATACCCCCGTGTCGAGCTTTCTTGAGGACTGTCAGGCTGTGCCACAGTGGCTGTTCCCTTGTGGATCCCCTCCAGCAGCGTACGGAGGTGCCAGCATCTCCACGTCCTCGCCAGCACTCGCCATCGTCCCTCTTGCGGTCCGGCTAAGTCGTCTGGAAGTCGCTTTTGCTCCTGAATGCGTGTCCCTTTCCCCCGACCGTCGGTGGAGACGTCAGGGCTGGGACGATGCCGCTCCTGGCCTTCCTGGGCCCATGGCCGCCACAGGAGAGATGCCCGGCGGTCCTTGGTGGGCGCCTTTCACGCCCCCCCAACCCCACAGTTTCGGAGGCTCGTGGGGCCACTTCCGGTTTCCAAAGACTGGGTCCTTCACCCGTCGCCCCAACAAGGCCCCGGCTCTGCAGTACGGTCGACTCACTTTCTTGCCATCCACTGTGAGGGGTCAGGCTTTCTGGTTGCCCTTGCCTGCCCCAGAATGCTTCGGTGAGACTTCGTCGTCTCTTCGGCCTTTTCCCTGAGCCTGTGACCCCTTTTCTGGTCCGAGTTTCCTCTGTGAAGACGAGCTTGGCCCTTGCAGCCTTCGAGGATCCTGCAGTCTCAGAAAGGAGGTACCTTTCTCGACTGGTGTTGGTCAGCAAAGACTGCAGCTCGCCCGGCGTTGGCCGCCGGGTGCCCTGGATGCCAGGCACAGCATTTTTGTGCCAGCCCTTTGGTAAGTCCAGTCTCTTACTGCACCTGCAGGTGATTTAGTGACGTTGTATGGACAAGGACGCTGAGGCCCCGAGAGCTTAAGTAACCTGCTCATGGTCATGCAGCCCGTGGCGGCCAAGCCAGGGCTGGGCCTTGGGGTGTCTGAGTCTTTTGCCCGAACCCTTTATTTGTTTATTTTATCCTAAAGATGTGGGGTCCAATTCAGGGTTAGGTATACAGACATTGACCATGCAGGTGCCCTTGTTGATGAGGTGTGCCCCTCCCTCCCTGGCAGTTTCCCTCAACTGCCAGTCCCCCCCTCTGCAGTTTCCCATTACTGCCAAACGCTTTCTTCTGGTATTCTTATTGCTGCCTGAACTCTTTGCCAGTGGGCTGTACTGCCTGCCTCTGGCTGCTGCATTTTTCCTGGGCATTGTGGGTCCTCCCCCCGTGCGTGGCTGGGGTGTGTCATTTTGGCCAGGAGCCCTGTGCAGTGTGCCGGCCCACACATCCCTCATTCATCAGCAGAACTGGCCCGGCTGAGGGTCTCCGTAGATGGTCCTGCCTCACCTTTCCTTGCGCCACATGTTTTACTCTGATCTCTGCTTTTCGAAGTGTCAGTTCTTCTTTTCTTCGTGTCATTCCCTCTCAGGTGTCCCTTCCTCCAGGGAGCCCACCCTGACTGCTCAAGGTGGAATTTATTCATTCGTTCTTATGTCCCTCAGCTTTTCACTGGCCCCTGCCCTGGGGTACAAGGCATCTTCTGCTGTGTCCTGTCAAGTTCAGCATTTAGAGGACAGAACTGGGGACAGGTTCATTCTTGAGGACTCTGCTGCGTCTGACTCTGGACTTTGGGCCCAGCGGGCATCCAGTAAATATTTGTTAAATTGAATTGCGTGATGTTTTCCCTTGGCCCTCCTGGGACCAGGACAGGGAAGGTGGATCCTCTGAAGAGGGCTGCGCCAGGGTTTCCTGGTGAATGTCAGCACTTGGCTGTGAGGCTTCAAGGTCACGGTCTCTGATGCACACAATAGGTACTAAGGGCTTCTTTTAAACAGAAGAAGCAAAACTTTAGGCAGAAGTTTCTTGAAAACATTTTGCTGACTCCCTTCATTTGCTCGGGGGTTGCCCATCTGCAGCAGGCCACGGGAAGGGGAGATGCCTGACGCGACTTCCCCAGAGCCCATCCAGCTGGGTCTCAGTGTGCTGGTCCAGTGGCTGGCTGGGGGGGGCACCGGTAGCCAGCAGCTGGCAGGCCCATGCATACCCTAGTTGCCGGGCAGGGCTTCTGAGTGCCTGTAAGGGGCCGCACTTACCCTGGAGTATCCCCACACCCCAGAGAGCACTCCCTGAGCTGACGCCACGCATGGGGCTTCCTCTCCCTCTTTCCAACTTTGCTGAGGCTGCCTTGCCACCTTCTGGCACTTCTCCCCTCCTTTGGAATGCGGGCCCGTGTTTTCATCTGCTTGGAGCCCTGCAAATTATGCAGCTGGTCCTGCGTGTGCATTTGCCCGGGATGGTAACTTACGGAAGCCTGAGGGCACCTCCTGCTCTTGGGATAATCCCACATCCCTCCCTCGTTTCAACACGGTGGACTCAGAGACCGAGACCGGGAGGAGCAAAGAGATGGAAAACCGCTCTGTGTGCAGCTGCTGAAACGTCTCAGGCATGACTTCCTGTTGCGTCTTCCTCGCTGAGACCCCACAGCAGGACCTTCCACCTCCATCTTTCATCCGTGAGTGGACGGAGCGAACACAAACCTGTGGTGGGGCTCTTTCTTCACTTGAGCTTTCCGAGAACCCCAGGGGCTGGTGTTTTCATCCCCATTTCACAGAAGAGAAAAGTGCTTGGGGCTGAGCTGGGCGGAGCCCCAGGGTAGGTGTTCGGGACCCTCCTGGGATGTTTACAGGCACGTGCGTTGCAGGGGCAGACCACTCACGGCCTTCCGTCCTGAGTTTCTGGTCTTCGTTTCTCATCAGGCGTGACCATCGGGAGGTCCATGCCTATGCTTGCTGTACTGCTCGGCCAGCATGCCCAGCTCAGCCCCAGAGGGCGTGAGTTGGGGCCAGCTCTGCCCCAGGCCCATCCCGTTTCCGCTCAGGATGAGGAAAGAGGTTCTCGGGGCCAGCGCTGCTCAGGGGAGGGCTGTGCTGGGAGGTGGAGAGCTCCTCATCCCTGGGGTGTGCACGAAGGGTGTCCGCGCCTGTCCGAGGAGGATGCGGCGTCCCAGGGTTGGGCGAGAGGACTTTCCAGGTTCGTGCAGCCAGGTTTGCTGGCATGGATTTTGGTATGCACCTTCCTCCCCCAATGCCCTGGATGTTGGGAAGACAAATGCTTTTAGGTGTGAGAAGCCGCGGACTTTGTGTTTGCTCCGAATCCTCCCTGATACTGCAAAGGGAAAAAAAATCTTCCTGCCCCAGAGTCCATTGTAGTTGCGGTTGCCTCCCTCTGGCCAGCGGCTCACGCTGCTGGAAAGACACCGGGAGAGCTGTAAGGAGAGGCCTCCCCTCCTGAAAGATGCCCTGAGGCGTAAGGGCCAAGGCAGCTTCTGCCACACACTGTCTCCTCGGGCCTTCGAGACCTGGGGGGCCGTGGGTGGGACAGAGAGAGGCAGGACCCCCGGGGGCCCCGCCTGGCTCAGAAGGCCTTGCCCTTGTTCGGAGAGCTTTCCCTGCCCCCGCTGCTCGGTGTTGGGCGCTGGCCGGGCAGGGCATGGATGAGGGATATGGGGTGGATGCGGAACAACAGGGCGTGGGGAGAACTTGGCAAACCAGGGCGAGCACACGGCCCCTTCCAGGCAGGCGGAGCCAGTCTGAGGTGGTCGCAGGGCAGGCCCTGCGGCTAGATCTTCAGGCTTTGAAGAGAACTGGAGGGCTGGGTTTGCCTGTGGCGGCGGGTTCTTAATTTGAAACTCTGTGTCAGAAGGCTCACAGCAAGCCAAGACTTCAGAGCTGAGGTTGCCTGCGGGTGGCTCCCTGCACCCTCTGCCCTGCCTGGGACCCCAGAAGCCAAGGAGTCCAGGCAGAGGGAAAGCAACCGTCGCGTGAAGGTGGTCTGGGCGCTGCCCACCCCATTCCTCAGTTTCCTCCTCTCTGGAAGGGAGGGGCTTACTCCCCGGGCGGTGGGGAGTGTTGAATGACGCGGGGGAGCAGCCTTCTCCCCAGGCAGCCAGTGGCGCTGGCGGTGTGTGCAGCACTGAGCCTGCCGCCAGCGGTCAGAGGAAAGCAGTGGCAGCAGGAGGAGCACAGGCTTCGCCTGAGACCGGCCTGGGCTCAAATCCCGGCCTCGCCTCTTGCAGTCATGTGATCTCCAGCAAGCATCTTCCTTCCTTTCGGCCTCCATGTCCCTTTCCCGAAGGGGGTTGTGGGCCTGCGTTGCGGGCGTCTCCCTCCCTCAGGCCTGGGGAACTAACCCGTGCGTTTCTTCCTCCCCGTCTGCTCCCACAGGGAACACCTTCAGCACGCTGGCTGGCCTGGTCTTTGACTGGACGATTGTGCAGGACGCAGGCGCAGACAGCTTCTCAGACGCCCACAGTGCCCTGCGGTAAGAGGCGCCCGTGCCAGGCCTGACTCCCTCTGAAGGGAAGCTGGGAGGCGAGCGTCGGGGGCTCCTCGGGTCTGGGGGCTTTGTCGTGGTCCGCAGGGAACCCAAGGAGGTTCTCGGGGTGCCTGCTGACGTTCTGGTGGTGGGTTCGAAGCGGGGTTCGTTCCTACTGGCCGGCGGGAAGCGGGCTGGTTGCTTAGGCTGCTGGGGTATATTCTGTGGGAACGTGTCAGAGGCGCTGGGGACGTCCAGCTGGAGAATGAGGTGACTCGGGTCGCAGAAGGCTGTCTCGGGGTACAGGGAAAGTGTGGGGCCCCCGAGGCAGCGCTTCCTCTGGGGGCAAGTTGGGGGAGAAGCAGGTTTCGGCTGAGAGGACGGGCCCCCAGGCGATAGCTATCCTCCAGGGCGCAGGCTGGCGTCCTGGCACGGTGCTCGAGGGGTTGACGCCTTCGGTATCGTGACCCGTGTCATCCTCCCAGCAGCCAGGTGGGCTGTGAGTGCCGCTGCTCTCTCCATGTCTCCGTTGTGGAGACTGAGACTGGGAGGTTGAGCGCTGGTCTGAGGTGGGCGTGTGGCCGGGCGGGAACTTGGACTCAGAGCTGCAGGTCTACCTGTCCGAGGTGGTGGCCCCGGACCCCATCTGGCTGTCTAAATGTGAGGTGACGGGGAAGGTCAGGTCCAGAGATGCTCGTGCGCAGGCAGCGAGCGGCTGCGGCGTGTCGGGCAGAGCGGAGCCAGGCCCTTCCGAGGGCACGGTCCCTTGGCAGTGCGGGGGCGGACCCGAGGGCCGAGCCTTCTCTCCGACTGTCCTTCGTCGCCAAGTAGTGCTTTAAGAGCACGGTCCCCTCTGGGGGAAGACAGCTTGGCCCCAGCGGCAAGCCTGCAGAACGTGTGCCAGTGCAGTCCACACAGCCTCCTTGGAGCCGTGTCCGGGACCCTGGCGATCGTCGTGGGCACTCACGACCATGAAGGACGTTTTCCTGCCGAGCCGCAACACGGTCCTCAAGATGAGGAAATGAACACTGAGGCATTCAGTCTTCAGGCCTCATTCAAGTGTCGCCCTTTGGCTCGGTTTTGCCCTTTTTAGCAGAACAAAAGAAAGCAGAGAAACCCCTAGAACTCAGTCCAGAGTCTCACGCTGCGGTCTCCTGTCTCTCTCACAGGTCCCAGGCCCTGTCAGCCTGGGGCAGCCTCTTGATCTTTGGCTTTTGGCACCTCAACACTGGTGAAGATGGCAGCCTGGTTATTTTGTAGGCTGGCTTTTGCTTTGGCTTTCTGATGTTCGCCCATGACTACACTTGGAGCTTTGCCTCTTTGGCAGGGATATCATAGAAGTGAGAGTCTGTGTTCTTCTGATTGCAATTCCGATTGGTCAGTTGCTGACAGTGGTCACTGCAGTCACTTGGGTGAGGTGGTGTCTGCCGGGGCTTCCCATGAGGAAGTGGCTTTCTTATCCCTTTGCAGTTACTAAGTATTTTGTGGGGGTGTTAGCAGTCTGTTCTTTCATTTTCACCTTTAAAAGTCCAGTTCTAGGCCAGGTATGGTGGCTGCCACCTGTAATCCCAGCACTTTGGGAGGCTGAGGTGTCGCTTAAGCCCAGGAGGTTGAGGCTGCAGTGAGCTATGAGAGAGCCACTGCACTCCAGCATGGGCAGCAGGGTGAGACCTGTTTCTCCAAACAAAAAAAAAAGAAAGAAAGAAAAGAAAGTCGAACTCTGGGCCATAGGGGATGTCGGGGACGTGGCAGTGCCTCCGTCGCAACCTTCTCGGGGGCTTATCTCTTGGCCATCTCCAGGCAGATGCCCTCACATCCTGACAGTTTTGTGAGCTGAATTGCCTGTGGAATCAGGGCCCTCCGGAGCTGGGACTGCTGTCCCGTGACCATCTCCTGGGCAGCTCTGGCGTTTCTGGTGTTTTAGGAGGCCAGGAACACGGGCTGTAGGGTCTGAGACCTGGATTCTGTTTTGGCCTTGTGGCCTCCTGGGTTCCAGATGTGGCCTGGGTCGGTGAATGTAGCCCACCTGAGCCTCAGCTCCCCTGCTGTGAAGCAGAAGAGGTTGCTGTGGCCCCCGAGCAGGGAGGCAGGCGGACTGGTGCTCGGGGCCCCTCTCTGGGCCTGGCGTGTGCTGGCTGTTCCGGCGCTGCCCGCTTCTGGGCTGCCAGTCTCATTTTCCACGATGACAGTCCCCCTGGCCTCCGTGCAGCCTGTCACTTGAGGCGATACTAACGGAGACACCGGGCGAGCTGGAACTGGAGCGTCCTGGACTTCCATTCAGCTCAACATGTGGCAGCGCATGGCCACGGGCGAGGACCTAAGTCACGGTGTGCCGCAGCGCCCCGCAGGTCTTGGTAGAAAGCACGCGTGTCTAGCAGGTCGCGTGTGTTCAGGTGGGGTGGTGGGCTCACTTGCAAGGCGGTGGCTGAAGTGAGAGGCTGTATTGCCCTGAAAGGGTCTCTGGAGCTAGGCCTGCTCGCCAGCCACACTCTGGGGAGGCAGCACGTCCCGCTGTCTTCCCGGCCTGGGCCGTCCTTGTGGCCCAAGCTGGAGACAACTAACCCTGCCCAGAGCTTGAGGGGAAGTCCCCAGAGGCAGGCGGTTGTGGGCGGCCTCGGGGAGACCGAGGGCCTTACTGCCACCGCTCTGCCTGGGCTGTGGTCTCAGGCCTGCTGCTTGACTTTCCTGGGTCTCACTGTTCCCATTTGGGTTAAGCCAGTGGCCTCAGATGTCGGCGATGATCATCATGTGTGTGGATTTTGATATAATGAAGATTGCCAGGCTTCTTGGAGATCAGGGCTGGTCCAGGGGCCAAGCATCTGCACTTTGTACAAGGGCATTGGCTGTTCTGATATAGGAGGCTGCAGGGACATAACTCTAAGCAGCCCTGACCTAGGAAGACACCCCTCATTTCAGCTCGGGCACCTGGTGGGAGGTTCCCAGGGACAGCGAAGGGTGTGTTAGATGCCTAGGAGTCTTGTGTTTGGGTTTGACCAATGAGATAGGATGATGCACCGCTTTTTCAGAATCCTTACGTTCTTGGAGTCCATGTATGCACCTCCTTCCTATATCTCGGAGATGGAGAAGGTGGCCAAGCAAGGGGACACGGTCCTGGTGTCTGGCATGAAGACGGGGAGCGCCAAGCTCAAGGCCCGCATCCAGGAGGCTGTCTACAAGGTGAGCCCAGTTGTGGGGAAACGGGTTTCGGGGTGGCGTCAGGGTGACCTCCAAAGGGCTGTCCACAGCTTGAGCCCGGGAGCAGGAAGGCCGGTGCTTCCAGGTAGCATCAAGGTGACATCCAAGAGGATGTCTCCAGGGTGAACCCAGGTGTGAGGAGGCTGAGTCTTCTGGGTGACATCCAAGGGCCTGTCTACTGGGCGAGCCCGGGGTGAGTGAAGGCCGGGACGTGCAGGTGGCATCAGGGTGATATCCAGGAGGCTATGTCCAGGGTGAGCCTGGGTGTGGGAGGGTTAGGGCTTCTGGGGTGGTGTCAGGGTGGCATCGAGGAGGCTGTCTGCAAGGTGAGCCCAGGAGTGCGGAGGCCGGAGCGCTGGGGTGGCGTCAGGCTGACGGTTCCTGCCCACGCCTGTAGACATGTTGAATAGTAGAAGTGACGTGCCCCACTGTGACTTCAGGGTGTGAGTGCCTGTTGATTTGTCTGATTTGGTTGGAGCCATGGCCCGGGAGAACTGGTTGAGGTCCCAGAACGGTCGTCTCCAGATTCGCAGAGCCTCTGCTCATTCTTAGTTTCGAGGGAGGTCCCAGTGCAGAGGGTTCTCCGTAACGAACCCGTTTCCAGGAGGGCCTCCCACCCCCCGCCGCAGCGTAGGACCACACCAATCCGTGAGGCTCTGACGAGACCTGGAGGCTCACAGGTGCCTCGCGTGCCCTCTCCCGGCCCTGTGTCCCCGGTGGAGCCCTGGGCCTGGCTCCCGGTGCTCCCGCCTGTGGAGGGCGAGGACTCCTCGCTCCTGAGGTACCCCAGCCTGCTTCACAGTGGTTGTCTGGGGCTCACCTTCAGCATCCTATTCTCAGGCGGGGCCGAGGAAAGGAGAGTGGCAGGCGGGCTTAGCCAGGGTCCTGGTTCCTTCCTGTCCCTGAGGTGAATGTCCACCCCTCCTATGCCTTAGGTTGAGCTGCAGCCCCAAGATCGGTCCTCTTTGTGGTTTGCTCCACTTCCTGGAGCACAGGCAGGAAGGTTGTGGCACTTTGCAAAGTGATAGAGAGAAATCTCTGTGCGGTGGCTTAGCCAGTGGCCTGGGAGTCCTGGAGGGTTTTGGAAGCATAGGGGCATGCTGTGTGTTAGGGGTAATCCTGCAGGATGCTTCAGGTAGTGTTTGGAGAAATGTGCTCTGTGTGGTGCCTAAGGGTGGAAGCGAAAAGGCACTGCCAGCCAATGGCCTTGCCTGCCTGCTGTGCTGGAAAGGACCTGCCACAGAGCCTAGCCACAGTGGGTGTTTGGTAGGTTTGTCTTTTCTTTTTAATGTATCAGAGATATTATTGAACTTATTGTTAAGTGCAAAAGCCTGTACGGTGTTACAGCAGGCACACATGAGAATTCTAAGGGCAAGCACGTGCACAGGCCGTTGGGGCTGCCGAAAGGCACTCACGAGGACGTGCAGAACCACCCGTGTCCACAGGGTGAGGGTCTGTTGCATCTCCACCAGAGAGAGTGAATTTGCGTTCTGTGAGCAGCAGTCATTTCCGTTGCCATCAGTTTCCTGCAACGTGCGGGGCTCTCAGGCAGGCCAGAGACGGTGGAAGATTCAGGTCCTCGAAGAATCTAATGCCTGAGGGGTACCTGGGACAGGACACCTTGTGGTGTTTTCTCCCATCGCAAGGTCTCTCAGGTTTTCCTGAGAGTGGAAGAGGTCCCAGGTGGGGCGTGAGGGGTGGCCATGGGAAGAGGCCAAGGAACAGGGCTGAGGATACCTCACTGACAGACGCCTCCTCCCTTCTCAGGTTTCTCTGGAACTTCTCAGCGTCCTTGGGCTTGGGGGCTTCTGTTGCTCCTGGTAGCCGTGGCGTTCGTAGGGTTTGCTCTGGCTCCTCTGTGTTCTGTTTTGTTAGTGTTGTTTGCAGTTGGGATACAGCAGACATATAGTGCACAGTGAGGGCTCAATGCTCCGTGTGTTTAGGTAACAACTCTGCAGGCATACCTGCCATACATACAGGATTGCATTGGGATCTCTGGGGTCTGAGGATGGCAGTGTGGGAGTGGCATCTTATTTCTCACATTTCCCCGTTCCAAGAGTTTGAAAAACTCTCTCACCCACACTCCCTCTGCCACCGCCTGACCCCCCTCGCTTTTCCTGTGCTTTTTATGCCAAGAACGTGCCACCTGCAGAAGTCCGGCTGCTGATTTTGGAGAACATCCTTCTGAACCCAGCTTACGACGTCTACCTGATGGTGGGAACCTCCATTCACTACAAGGTGCAGAAGATCAGACAAGGGAAGATCACAGGTGTGTCAGTGACTCGGCAGCCGTGACAGATCTTCCCCTCCCCCTTTTTATTGTGGTGAGATATATACAACCTAAAATGGAGCATGTTAATCATCTTAAGTGTCCACTTCAGTGACAGTAAGCACATTCACAGTGTTGTGTAACCATCTCCACCATCCACCTCCAGAACTTTTTCATCTTCCCAAAGTGAGGCTCTGTCCTCGTTAAACACCAGCTCCCACTTCCCCTCCCCCCAGCCCCTGACACTCACCATTCTACTATACCTGTCTCCATGAATTTGGATACTGAGTTCCTCATGTAAGTGCAGACAGACTGTTGTTCTTGTGACTGGCGTATTTCACTTAGCACAGTGTTCTTGAGCTGTATCCATGGTGCAACGGGTCAGATTTCCCTTCCCCTTTAAGGTTGAATAATTTTCCATTGTGTGGATACACCGTGTTTTGTTATGTATTCGCCCATGGAGGGACTCTTGGTCAGTGGTCAGTTGCCTCCACCCTATGGCTACTGT